TTACCCCAATCTTTTTATGGTTTTTGGTTTTTTTTTTTTTTTTTTTTTAATTTGGTTTCTTTTTTTTTTTTTTTTTTTTAGAAAATTTTTTCCATTTAACTTTATTTATTTACTTATTTTAATTTGACCAGAGAGGGACAGAGCCAGAGAGAGAGGGAATGTGAGAAAGCAAGCTGCCAGATCCGGGACTTGAACCAGTGTCAACCATGTGGGAGTCTAGCACCCTTAAGCACCATGCCACCTGCTGACCTGAGTTGTTCCTTTTTTGATTAAAAATTTTATTCTATTTCTTTTATAAAATAAAAAGTACATAATACCCTTATCAGAGAGAAAGCACCCCCCCATGGGGCGTGGTCACACTGCAATCCCTTCTTTTTTCTTTGAAGAGGTTTTTGCTATATAGGGTGCGTGCGCTCGCTAGAAGGACAGAGACAGAGAGATGGAAAGTGAGAAATCACCCCCCAGGGGGGATGGCCACGCCACAGTCCCTTCTCCATTCTCCTCTCGGGATCTTGGGCACGCACGCACATGCGCCCAGCGTGAGTTTAAGCAACCAGGTCCAGGACTTGAACTGCGGTTGGCTACATGGGAGTTCAGCGACATAGCCATTATGCTAGCTGCTGGTCCCCCACACTGCAATCCCTTCTTTTTTTTTTTTTGAGAGGTTTTTGCTATAGGGCGCGTGCGCTGGCCAGACAGACAGAGAGACAGAAAGCGAGAAATCACTCCCCAGGGGTGATGGCCATGCTGCAATCCCTTCTCTTCCATTCTTTTCTCGGGTTCTTGGGCACGCACGCCCATGCGCCCCGCACGCCCATGCGCCCCGCGTTAGTTTAAGCCACCGAGTCGGGAGGCGAACCACGGTCGACTTCGTGGGAGTCCAGTGACATAGCCATTACACTAACTGCTGGTCCCTGCAATTCCTTCTTAATGTCTCCATCTCATCAAGATTTGACCACATTCAGGGTGTGTGCATGTGTGCCTACACACACACACACACACACACACACACACTTTTCAGGTCACTGGGCAGAGATTCAAATCATTCAATTGGCTATGTGGGATCTGGCTTCCTCAATCACTGCGCCATGAGGCTGGCCCAAATTTTGTGTATTTAAACATTTAATTATCTATTTATTTGCTGTGATTTTCAAACCACTGTTGGCATGTGGGAATCTAGCACCCTAACCACCATGCCACCTGCTGGGCCTAATGGTATTGTGGGGTTCCCCACCCAGAGATTTTTGCTTAGGGTGTGTGTACTCGCTGGAGAGACAGAGAGATGGGGGATGGCCATACTGCAATCCCTTCTCCTCCATTCTCCTCTCAGGATTTTGGGCATGCATGTGCACATGTGCCTGGCATAAATTTAAGCCACTGGGTCTGGGACTTGAACCATGGTCGACCACATGGAGTCCAGTGCATTAGCTACTATGCCACCTACCGGCCCCAATTGTATTGTTTTTAATGCACTCAGGGTAAAGACTGCTAAATCATAAAGCAGATGGGGCAAAATGCAGCATTATGTCATGGGTTGAAGAGAAGTAAAGGGAAACTAAGTGAAGTATATCTTCTGAATTGTTATTAGAATTATTGTTTAAAATTGGACCACCTATAGAACAAAGAAAACCTTTGACTAGCCCTGGTTAGAGGTTGACCTCATCCAGATAAAAATTGCTAAATCTTTTGAAACCGTACTTCTGTTATAACATTTTAAATTAAATAAATTTAAGTTGGATAAGGAGTACTTCAAATAAGTAGAAACCTCAAGGTTCTAGACTCCTAGATTGCTGACTGCAGTTCCAGCTCCAAACCTACCTGATGTCAGGTGCATGTGCATGCATGCCTGCCCAAAATTCCAGGAAGAGAATGGTAGAGAATGGATTGCAGCGTGACCATCCACCCAGCCCGTGATTTCTCACTTTCTCTCTTTCTATCTCCAGGAAATGAACATGCAGATGGTAAAAACCTAAAACAAAACCAAAAAAACTTAGATCTTATTTTCCTGATACCTGCAAAACTTACTTTTATTTTCATTTTAAACCATACTGAGGTAAATTTTGACACAAATTTCTGAGCACTCTGTAAAGTAGAAAAAGAAATTTAATAGGCTCAAAAAAGAGACCATATTTTTGATCAATTTGAAAAGTTAAAAACTCTGGGGACCAGCAGATGGCATGATGGCTATGTCGTTGGACTCCCATGTAGTTGACTGTGGTTCTAGTCCTGGACCCGGGACTTAAACTCACTCCAGGTGCATGTGCTTGTGTACCCAAAATCCCAAGAGTATAATGGAGGAAAAGGGATGGCGGTGTGGTCATCCCCCTTGGGGTATGATTTCTCGCTTTCTGTCTCTCTCTGTCTGTCTGGTGAGCGCATATGCCCTATAGCAAAAATCTCTCTAAAAAAAAGGAAAGAAAAGTTGGGACCAGCAGGTGGCGTGGTGGTTAGGGCGCTGGACACTCCTACATGGCCAACCAGGGTTTGAGTCCTTAATCTGGTGGCTTGCTTTCTTTCTCATGTCCTCTCTCTCTCACCATGTCTCTCTCTCAGGTCAAGTTAGAAATAAATGAATAAATAATAAAAAATAAAATAAGTTATTAAAAAAAGGAAAGAAAAATTAAAAAATCTATAAATGTAACTTTTGGG